GATGCTGCCACCACCATGCTTCACTGTTGGGACTGTATTGGACAGGTGATGAGCAGTGCCTGGTTTTCTGGTTTTCTCCCGCTTAGAATTAAGGCCAAAAAGTTCTATCTTGGCCTCATCCGACCAGAGAATCTTATTTCTCACCATCTCACCATCGTGGCCCGACGGAAGCCTCTCCTCAGTGCAAGACACATGAAAGCCTGCATGGAGTTTGCTAAAAAACACCTGAATAAGATTCTCTGGTCTGATGAGACCAAGATATAACTTTTTGGCCTTAATTCTAAGCGGTATGTGTGGAGAAAACCAGGCACTGCTCATCACCTGTCCAATACAGTCCCAACAGTGAAGCATGGTGGTGGCAGCATCATGCTGTGGGGGTGTTTTTCAGCTGCAGGGACAGGACGACTGGTTGCAATCGAGGGAAAGATGAATGTGGCCAAGTACAGGGATATCCTGGACGAAAACTTTCTCCAGAGTGCTCAGGACCTCAGACTGGGCCGAAGGTTTACCTTCCAACAAGACAATGACCCTAAGCACACAGTTAAAATAATGAAGGAGTGGCTTCACAACAACTCTGTGACTGTTCTTGAATGGCCCAGCCAGAGCCCTGACTTAAACCCAATTGAGCATCTCTGGAGAGACCTAAAAATGGCTGTCCACCAACGTTTACCATCCAACCTGACAGAACTGGAGAGGATCTGCAAGGAGGAATGGCAGAGGATCCCCAAATCCAGGTGTGAAAAACTTGTTGCATCTTTCCCAAAAAGACTCATGGCTGTATTAGATCAAAAGGGTGCTTCTACTAAATACTGAGCAAAGGGTCTGAATACTTAGGACCATGTGATATTTCAGTTTTTCTTTTTTAATAAATCTGCAAAAATGTCAACAATTTTGTGTTTTTCTGTCAATATGGGGTGCTGTGTGTACATTAATGAGGAAAAAAAATTAACAAATGATTTTAGCAAATGGCTGCAATATAACAGAGTGAAAAATTTAAGGGGGTCTGAATACTTTCTGTACCCACTGTATATATATATATATATGTGTGTGTGTGTCTGTGTGTGTGTATGTGTATATATATTAGGGCTGGTAATTTAACCCGTAAATTAGATTAATTAATTAATCAATTAAAAAATTATTAATGCATTTAACGCACTTGCCCCGCCCCAGTCCCACGTGGGTCATCTGACATTTCATACAGCTGATTGATGACAAATATGAGGCAGGGCAACAACTGCTGGAGGCTAGAGAACATAGTTAGAAGGTCCCTAATATTCAAGATATGGGGGAAAATGCCCCCGTTTGAGCTTTTGTCTCATATTTACCTCATATAGTTAAGTAATATACCACGAGCAATAAGTGCAATATCACACGAGTGCAAATCACAATCAAATTAGTGCACCTAAGCGCTGCACAGATCGATCCAAAACCATACGGAGTCGTCTGCTCTCTATAGCTCTTGCGGTACTTTGATGTCACACACCGATCGGTCTGATGGTGATGATCCGCTTCAAGTCGAACAAGCCCAATGAGTCAATGGACCATTCATAAAGAACCGTTTACTTCACTCCTGAATGAATCAGTCATTTGAACGAATCAAATGAATAAATACCACCTACTGGCAATTTTAGTTTATTATTTAGAGTATCATTTCATTAAAGAAATAATTTCATATTTCCATAGTAATAATAATAAAATGAATTATTAAAGGTATAGTTCATCCACCCAAAAAAAAACAATTGTGTCATCATTTACTCACCCTCATGGTCCAAAAGAGTATATGTAATAAATTATCAAACTTATTTTATTTAACATTATTATTTCTTGATGAAGTTACTTTTTGTAATGTCTTTTTGATGCCTTACACAACAATGACTTTAAATTATCTTTTGGGAGTAATTTCTCAGCCAAATTTGATGTGTGATTCATTTGCGATTAATTAATCGCCACATCATGTAATTAATTAGATTTAAAATGTTAATCGCTTACCAGCCCTAATATATATATAAATATATATATACACACATACACTACCAAGTTTGTGGTCAGTTTAAGAAATTAATTCAATTCAAATTCAATCAAATGTGACTATCACAAAATAAAATTCAACATTAGAATAAGTAATGCATTGTTTTAACTTTAAAAAAAATAGTCTTCGTGCTTGATTACAATTAATTGTTGTTAATTGAGGTTTCATTACCTTTAGTTTTGTTAAGTTTGATATTAAAGTCATCAATAAATTGTATGTTGTTATAACTAATTGCAGGAGCATTTTTTAAAAAATTTTTATGGCGCACTGTTTCTACAAATATATTAACCAACACAACTGTTTTCAGCATTGATAAAAAAAGCCATCCTTTTAATTTATTTTATTAAACATTAAATTCTTAAAACAATCAGTTTAAAGTGCTTTTCATTTCAAACTTTCTATTCATAAATCATCCTGTACTCATGAGGCATGGAGGAACAAATACATGCTTCATGTTTCTGACATCAACATCTGTTAAGTAATGAGTTCACAGAGTTTGTTTCACTGTGCCTTGTTTCACTCAGACACAAATGACAAAAGTGCTACAATATTGTTGTACAGTATCTTAAACCGATTTAATTTGTTGAACAATAGTTTAAGCAAAGTTGACAACTCAATTTTTGGCTAATACAACTTCAATCACCCAAAAATGTAATCTTTCTTTATCGCTGGCATCTTTTTGTCCTCTCTATCCTCTTTAGATGTCAGTATAGCTCTTTTTCCAAAAACAGCTGCTCCCAGAAATTCTGGAACTGCTTCACTGTGTCATGGCCCTCACAGAACCGCTTTAAATCTTTCGATAGAGTCTGATGCATATAAATATAAACCAAAACCAAGCCTTGAATCTCACTTTTCACACTGTTCAGGTGAGTTGTTAGTGACTTCTTTGCTAAAGAAGTCTCCGTCCCATACAGGTCGATATTAAAGCGTAGAGACCCTCCGTTATACGGAATAGGATCGGGAGATGTATGGAAGCTCATGAACAGGGGTTTACCACCGGAACCATCTACAATCCATGTTAGGTTTCGCCTTGCCAAGATGTCAAGGTTACTCTCCATGAGTTTCAAGGGCTGCCAGTCCTGGATAATAGCGCCCCCTGGAAGCTGAAGTCTGGATGACAAATCGGAATCAAATAGAAAGGCCTTAAGAGCATCCAAGTCCTTTACTGGCACTAAAGAACGGCTGCTGTTGGACTCATCTGACACAACCAGTTTTTCCTTCAGACTTGAGACAAAGCTATCAAAACCTTCAGAATCCCCCCGTAGAGAGAGAACGGCCTGGACAGAAAGAGAAAACTGAGATAAATATTACTGTTAATATTAGTGGCATTACTATTACTATTAGTGGTATGGATCAAAGGGTAGTGAGAAGGAGTCAAGAAAAAAGAATAAACATTAATGGAGTGCATAATTAATTTAAAACAACTATCAAAAATAACAATATAAAGTAAGAAGAGATACAAAATGCAGATTACACAGTATTTTGATTTCCAAACATTTTTAAATGAATATTGAAGACTAAACTTTCTTTTGCAGCTTATTTAGAACATATTAAAAGAAAAATATGATGAAAGTATTATTGCTACAACACGTTTTCCATTTTATGTATTTAATATTTTGCAATAAGATTCGATTTGCTTGCATTTGTTTATAAATTGGGTATCATGACCTAACAATGAAAAAAGTTATTTATTTAGGGTAGTGGTCATTTATAAATATACTATTGTTTATTGTTAATTGATGTTTGTTTCATAATACATTAAATAATGTTCATGTATAGAACTCACTTTTCGAGTTTTAACTCACCCGTCTGGCCAGAAGTGTGAACTTGTGCAGTTTTTCGGGCCCTGGGTCATCTGCGGTACTTTGATGTCACACACCGATCGGTCTGATGGTGATGATCCGCTTCAAGTCGAACAAGCCCAATGAGTCAATGGACCATTCATAAAGAACCGTTTACTTCACTCCTGAATGAATCAGTCATTTGAACGAATCAAATGAATAAATACCACCTACTGGCAATTTTAGTTTATTATTTAGAGTATCATTTCATTAAAGAAATAATTTCATATTTCCATAGTAATAATAATAAAATGAATTATTAAAGGTATAGTTCATCCACCCAAAAAAAAACAATTGTGTCATCATTTACTCACCCTCATGGTCCAAAAGAGTATATGTAATAAATTATCAAACTTATTTTATTTAACATTATTATTTCTTGATGAAGTTACTTTTTGTAATGTCTTTTTGATGCCTTACACAACAATGACTTTAAATTATCTTTTGGGAGTAATTTCTCAGCCAAATTTGATGTGTGATTCATTTGCGATTAATTAATCGCCACATCATGTAATTAATTAGATTTAAAATGTTAATCGCTTACCAGCCCTAATATATATATAAATATATATATACACACATACACTACCAAGTTTGTGGTCAGTTTAAGAAATTAATTCAATTCAAATTCAATCAAATGTGACTATCACAAAATAAAATTCAACATTAGAATAAGTAATGCATTGTTTTAACTTTAAAAAAAATAGTCTTCGTGCTTGATTACAATTAATTGTTGTTAATTGAGGTTTCATTACCTTTAGTTTTGTTAAGTTTGATATTAAAGTCATCAATAAATTGTATGTTGTTATAACTAATTGCAGGAGCATTTTTTAAAAAATTTTTATGGCGCACTGTTTCTACAAATATATTAACCAACACAACTGTTTTCAGCATTGATAAAAAAAGCCATCCTTTTAATTTATTTTATTAAACATTAAATTCTTAAAACAATCAGTTTAAAGTGCTTTTCATTTCAAACTTTCTATTCATAAATCATCCTGTACTCATGAGGCATGGAGGAACAAATACATGCTTCATGTTTCTGACATCAACATCTGTTAAGTAATGAGTTCACAGAGTTTGTTTCACTGTGCCTTGTTTCACTCAGACACAAATGACAAAAGTGCTACAATATTGTTGTACAGTATCTTAAACCGATTTAATTTGTTGAACAATAGTTTAAGCAAAGTTGACAACTCAATTTTTGGCTAATACAACTTCAATCACCCAAAAATGTAATCTTTCTTTATCGCTGGCATCTTTTTGTCCTCTCTATCCTCTTTAGATGTCAGTATAGCTCTTTTTCCAAAAACAGCTGCTCCCAGAAATTCTGGAACTGCTTCACTGTGTCATGGCCCTCACAGAACCGCTTTAAATCTTTTGATAGAGTCTGATGCATATAAATATAAACCAAAACCAAGCCTTGAATCTCACTTTTCACACTGTTCAGGTGAGTTGTTAGTGACTTCTTTGCTAAAGAAGTCTCCGTCCCATACAGGTCGATATTAAAGCGTAGAGACCCTCCGTTATACGGAATAGGATCGGGAGATGTATGGAAGCTCATGAACAGGGGTTTACCACCGGAGCCATCTACAATCCATGTTAGGTTTCGCCTTGCCAAGATGTCAAGGTTACTCTCCATGAGTTTCAAGGGCTGCCAGTCCTGGATGATAGCGCCCCCTGGAAGCTGAAGTCTGGATGACAAATCGGAATCAAATAGAAAGGCCTTAAGAGCATCCAAGTCCTTTACTGGCACTAAAGAACGGCTGCTGTTGGACTCATCTGACACAACCAGTTTTTCCTTCAGACTTGAGACAAAGCTATCAAAACCTTCAGAATCCCCCCGTAGAGAGAGAACGGCCTGGACAGAAAGAGAAAACTGAGATAAATATTACTGTTAATATTAGTGGCATTACTATTACTATTAGTGGTATGGATCAAAGGGTAGTGACCATCTACAATCCATGTTAGGTTTCGCCTTGCCAAGATGTCAAGGTTACTCTCCATGAGTTTCAAGGGCTGCCAGTCCTGGATAATAGCGCCCCCTGGAAGCTGAAGTCTGGATGACAAATCGGAATCAAATAGAAAGGCCTTAAGAGCATCCAAGTCCTTTACTGGCACTAAAGAACGGCTGCTGTTGGACTCATCTGACACAACCAGTTTTTCCTTCAGACTTGAGACAAAGCTATCAAAACCTTCAGAATCCCCCCGTAGAGAGAGAACGGCCTGGACAGAAAGAGAAAACTGAGATAAATATTACTGTTAATATTAGTGGCATTACTATTACTATTAGTGGTATGGATCAAAGGGTAGTGAGAAGGAGTCAAGAAAAAAGAATAAACATTAATGGAGTGCATAATTAATTTAAAACAACTATCAAAAATAACAATATAAAGTAAGAAGAGATACAAAATGCAGATTACACAGTATTTTGATTTCCAAACATTTTTAAATGAATATTGAAGACTAAACTTTCTTTTGCAGCTTATTTAGAACATATTAAAAGAAAAATATGATGAAAGTATTATTGCTACAACACGTTTTCCATTTTATGTATTTAATATTTTGCAATAAGATTCGATTTGCTTGCATTTGTTTATAAATTGGGTATCATGACCTAACAATGAAAAAAGTTATTTATTTAGGGTAGTGGTCATTTATAAATATACTATTGTTTATTGTTAATTGATGTTTGTTTCATAATACATTAAATAATGTTCATGTATAGAACTCACTTTTCGAGTTTTAACTCACCCGTCTGGCCAGAAGTGTGAACTTGTGCAGTTTTTCGGGCCCTGGGTCATCTCCTCTGGTAAGATGCTTGGTCTTCACATTAGGGTAGACCTTCTTTATGTAGCCATCAACAAATCTCTGGATCACTCCAGCCAGACCACAGCCCCTTTCCTTTGGACACACTCTTAATCCCTCAACTATTACAGTTTCACCTCCATCAACAACCAAGCCTGACTCCAGAGCCACCTAAAGGCACACAGGAATAATTATTGCAAAATAGTAAAATACTAATGTGTTTATGATTGCGATAGCAAATTGAAATAATATGACAACAAATACCAGTTTGCAACATCAAGCAGCATAGCATATTGTCTGGAAGCTGTAGGAGTAACTGACTAAAAACATTGCCTCATATATAAAATCATGAGGAATCAATTGTCCTTCATCTTTGAGATTAATAGTATATTAAAATACTATTTATGAAGTACTGTTAGTTAACAATAAGAGTAAAAGTGGTCTGTTTTTCTTAATATTCAATATGCTAGTTAAGTTACAAAAGCCAATGTGCAAAAGTGCCCCTAGTAGCTTAATGGTGCTTTAGGGCAGCCAGTAGGGGTTCACTAGTGTGCAACAGTACAATATAATACTAGTGAAATGATAGTAACAAACAATTACAATGATGCTGGTCTTATTTACCACCCTAGACTGCGAGTATATGAAGAGCGAAACTGTCCAGTGGTATAAATGTCAGATACTGCATTCAAGTATATGGGTCATGACTCATGAGTCAATCAATTATGTGCACAGCAGAGAATACACTCATTGATGTGGTTCGTTTCAGCCAAGTTAAAATGTTGTCTTTCTGAGAACTGCAAGCATGGCATTTCTCAATAGACACATCATAACTTATTTTACCAATTAACTTTTTCTTATCATAAGAGTTAGTGATTTGAGTAGCCCATTAATTATAAAACATGAAGATGTGAAATGTTAATGTAATATTAACATTTCAAATGTTTTACATGTGCCTCGATAGCATGCAAGTTTATATTACCAAATAAACAAGCATTATTGTTAATTTCTTAAACATCCTATATAATATAATATGTTTATGACAAAGTGTGTGTCTACTTGCTAAAATCAAGATAGCACTGAAAAATAAATGTAACACAATCTTGCAGTTAAACAAAGACTATTCATATTTCCTCATAGCTTCTGGATGAGTTTAAAACAAAAATCAGAAAACACATGAGATCTGTCAAACCTTTTCACTCTTGTATCTCTTACCAGGTTCCTACCTCTCCGTGCTATAATAACCACTCTTCCTGGCTCAGTCATCCAGGAGTGATAGCGATGAGGAAGGTAATCGTTTCCACCATATATGTCTTGTGATATGGCCATCACGTCATCGTAATCCTCTGGTTTGTCCATCAATTTCACCAACACAATGTGAATCCATTGTTACTTCTGCACAGGTTAACTGTGGATTGTAAAAGTTTTTTGTGTCTAGTTCCAAAAACAAAAATCTGATTAAAACAACAACATTATATTATATATAAAAACATAAAAATACATAATATTATATTTTAAAAAATTTTAATTGATTGAAATGATTAAATATTGCAAACAAAAGCAAATAGTAATCTACTTAGCCTATGTAGTAACAATTTATGAGACCATTTAATGATAGTACTGTGGATAGCATTATCTATCAACAAAAACTTAATATAATTTTAGTCTGGATGACAGTCTACTAAGAGGAAAAAAAGTGGTCTTGCTATGATCATGTGGTCTGGTCACGTTAACCACTTAATAACTTGACTGCTGAAATGCATCTACAGTCATACTTTCAAAAACACAATATAAGCAAGTGTATGTATGTATGTATATCTTGTATTTTTGTTTTGAAGTTTTATTCTTTCCTCCCCCTGGCAATTGTTTTTTGTTTGTTGTAATTTGTCCTTCTATCTTTTTCTTTTCTTATTTTAATGTTGTTTTATTGTGTGTTATTGTTCCTTGAATAAAAATAAAAAAAAATAAATAAATAAACAATATAAGCAAAGCTTGGCTAAAATAAGTTTACAAGCAACACTGGCCTAAAATAACTTTTTTTTTTTTTACTAAAAACTGTGCAGAAGATTGTGCTGTTTGAGTCTGCAGGACTTATCGTGTGCGGTATCGACAGTCATGTGATTTCATACTTTCAAAAACACAATATAAGCAAGTGTATGTATGTATGTATATCTTGTATTTTTGTTTTGAAGTTTTATTCTTTCCTCCCCCTGGCAATTGTTTTTTGTTTGTTGTAATTTGTCCTTCTATCTTTTTCTTTTCTTATTTTAATGTTGTTTTATTGTGTGTTATTGTTCCTTGAATAAAAAATAAAAAATAAAAAAAATAAACAATATAAGCAAAGCTTGGCTAAAATAAGTTTACAAGCAACACTGGCCTAAAATAACTTTTTTTTTTTTTACTAAAAACTGTGCAGAAGATTGTGCTGTTTGAGTCTGCAGGACTTATCGTGTGCGGTATCGACAGTCATGTGATTTTGACGCTGAATTCCAGACCACCACAGTCAGGATGTGACCAGCTTCCACTCGGCCGAACATGGACGTTCTTCCTCTTCTTCTTGAAATTTTATTGGCGGTTAACAAACAACAAAATTGTGTATTTCCGCCACCAACTGGTATGGAGTGTGGATCAAAATGACTTACTTTCCCCCTGTGTTGTCATTTTTTTATATTCTCTCCCACAAATTAGTTATTTTGAGGTAATGAAAAATAAAACAATGGCATTCATTCCTTGAGTTATTTTGTAATATCTCAGTGTAAATTGCAATTTTATTTTTTCTAAATTTTGCATTAGAATCCTTCTTTCAGTCTCGTATTTCTGACAGTACAGTATGACATGTTCCTGTTTCTTCTTGTCCACAAAATTCACACCTTCCCGTATCATGTATACCCGTGTGTCCAAATCTCATCCTTGATATTACTATCTCATCTCTCCTGTTTTTCCCTGCACTTCTCATCTCTCCCACTTTCCTTTGAATTCTGTAAAACCACCGACCTTTTTTCTCCTTATCCCATTGTTTTTGCCACCTTTCCTTCAGTCTTTTCTTGATTTCATTCTTACTTAGATTAACAATTAAGTTAATGTCGTTGTTTTTAACTGCTTCTTTTGCTTCTTTATCTGCAATTTCATTTCCTTGGATATGCGCCGGCACCCATACAATTACTACTGTAATCCCCATCATTTGAATTCTATATAACGTTTGCATTATTTCAATTAAAATGTCTGGTCTACTTTCCGAGTGACTGTACTGTAATGTACTGTACAATACTAGCTGTACTCTACTAGCCAATGATGAACATGAATCTGAACGAATAACTGATTTCAAAGGTCTTATCTCTTCTATCCACTGTATTGCTAATAATAGTGCAATCATTTCCCCTGTATAAACAGATAACTCATGATCCTTTTCCTTACTCATGAAATTCTGGAACAGTAAATGCTACTCCTACCTTATTGTCTAAACTCTTTGAAGCATCTGTGTAGATCTGAACACAGCTGTAGTACTCATTAATATATGTCTGCACATTATATAAATTACATTCCTTAACCTTGTTTTTCTGTTCTAACAATGTAAAATCTACTGTAGCATCTGAAAGTAACCACGGTTTTATTACTGTTAGCGGTACAGCTGGAATAACATTTAACTGATTAACTTCAAGTTCTGTTTCTGTGTCACTGTCCATGCAAAGCTTTTAATTTTCCTCCTTTCTTTTTCCCAACAGGGCTTTAAAGTATCTAGTGTTGGATGCTCTTGACTATGGCCTTGTAGATTAACCCGATAATTGACTGATAACTGTACCCTTCTCATTTCTAATTACATTTCCCCCATTTCAACCTGTAGTGCTGTAATTGGTGTAGTTTTTATTGCTCCTGTACATAATCTCAATACCGCCTTTGTAGTAGTCGAACCTTGACTTTAAACTCTTGCAGGCTTTTAAAACTGTTTCACATGTCCAGCCTTTACACAGACTGAACATCTTTCTTTTGGTTAGCTAACAAGTAAAGCATGGCAACTTTAATCGTATGTCAGTAATTATCTAAACATATTAGAGTGAAGCTCGATATAGTGGGCACAGCAATCTATGAGACGTTTCGAGAACATTAAAAAATAATTTAAATAATAAACACATTTGCCTTTGAAATACGACACGAATCCATTTCCAAGAAGATTTCCTTCTCAAAAACAGTATCGTGGCCCCACCAAGCGGGTGGAAGGTGACATTGCAGTTTTGTCTAATAGGCCTCGATGAAGAAAAGGCATGTCTAAAAGGAGTATATGCTAGCTACATTAGGGTGACCATACGTGCCATTTTCCCAGGACGCGTCCTGGCCAGGATTTGTTTTGGCTTTGTTTTCATGCTTGCTGAAGGTAATGATCGAAAAGTAGTTTGACCAATAACATGCAAGGATTGTACATATTGGACCAATCATGGCGTGTGAGAAGGTGGGATCTACGGTCAAAGCGATGCAATTACGCGTACATATTAGGTATGGTCGACTTAAACGCAGTGCGGCTCAGACCGATCAGTGTTTGACATCAAAGTACCTTGAGAGCGTTGCGAAAGCATAACCGTCTGTATGGTACTTTGATGTCATGCACCGATCGGTCTGCACACGCAAACAAAGCCAAAACCTAGATATTTTAGGCAATATAGAAATCATGGCCAGGACGCGTCCTGGGAAAATGGCACGTATGGTCACCCTAAGCTAGATCCTAGAAAAGCTCTTTCTTTTGCCAACTTGGAAATTGAAACAATTGAATATACCATAAATGCATGGTTGAAATGGTAAAATGATCAATTTATTTAAGCAAAACGTCATATAGTTTTAGATAAGCATGCTTTGATGAACAAGGAGATACTTAGAAATTATAAATCTAAATGAATTGACAAAGTTCATAAAACTAACTTGCAGCATATAGAAATTATTCAACATTATTTGAGATTTGGCCTTGAAAGACTTGACTCATGACAAAAGACTTGCATGTCTGTTAGATTCTCACATTAACGTTTATTTATACATTTATTCAGTGTTAGAAACATTTATCTTAACCTGAAAACAAAATATGAATTAATTTCTTTTAATATTAGTTCAAACTATTAATGCATTCTTTTCTTTACATAATGCATTGCAATCTGCTTCAAGCTAGTTTACATTACACAAAAATGACGAGATTCCTCTCAATCGCACTGGAAAGACTGGAAACTATAAACTACTGAAATGTAATCATTCTGTTGTATCTGGCCTCAAAGGGCTGCCCTCCACATTTCTCTGCTGTAATAATAAGTGATAAACATGTCCTTGATCAGTCATGGTACCTTGTGTCCATGATTTGGGTTGGCCTTGGTAAGACTTCCACAGCCGGCCATAGAAAAGGTCTTTTTTGATCTTGGCATAAAGTTTTGAGGGGTCAAAGCCATTTGGAGAACTTTGAGAAGTTGGTACATCAACTGATTCTTCAGCAAATGTCTATAATGAGGGATTTACAGTTTAGGATGATTTTATTATTGTTATTAAAATATGCCATATAAACTGTATACGAACAAACAATAAAAATAAAAAAATATATATATATTTGTAATATTTTTAACAATGGTTTTATTATCATTATTAAAATATGTTAAAACAATATATACTGTCTATTTCATAATGTTGCCGCAAACAAGGGTCATGAGAATTGGCAGCACTCAAACTTTAACCACAACCACACACAGTCTTTAGAAAATAACAGGAAACTGATACCTTAAATGCAATCACTTACTATATTAAAGTGCATTTGAGATTGAAAGGAAATGGCACAGTTAAAGATTCACTATACCGCACTTATCACACTTTTACACTGCAGTTTCCATTTCAGCTGTAACTGATGTTGATGCTTTTTGTAAATAGTCACATTTAGCATTTATAATTATAGAATGGTGTGGAATGAGCCCTTCAAATTTCCATGTCAGAATTGCTATTTAGAAGAATAGTTCATTATTAACCTTACTCATCTTAATGACAGAAACGTTAACTCGTTGAATTTATTCATTAGATTTTTAAAAATGTATCATTTATTAAAATGTATTCTGTATAGCTATAAAGTCTTACCTCAGCCGGTAAGTCTGTCAAGTATGTTCGTATTTCAAAGGACTTCCTCCTGCAAGGTCAAATTTCCCATGATTTTAATCTTGGATTGTTTTGTAAATAAGTTTTAAAGTGTTTAATATACAGGATTTTGGTCTTAAATATATAAGTATAGAAATATTAGTCTTTTATTGTTTTGTGTAAAAATATATGTAAGATGTGACCTCTACCTTCTACAGCTGTTTTTTCTGCATAAGTAGAATAGGATGGTCAGGATAAAAAGGGAAAGAATAGTTCCAATAGTCATTGCACCCAAACGTCCAAATAATCCCAGCCTTGGTTCTTGTTCCACATATGTAAAATCTAAAAAAAAAAATCACCAAGTGAGTCCCAAAGGAATGGCAAGGTATGTATAGGACTACATGTGTAAGTTTTACCTTTTATCATAGACGTGTTGATACTGACATCTTTCTTACTGATATCAGTGCACTGCTCAAGTTTACCCGAAGGAAATGTTATGAACGCACAACAGATTTGCACGCTCTCATTTGATACTACTTTAATGAGAAGGGATGATGATGGATAAGGAGTCCGTTTGTTCTGGATCTTCACTTTAGGCTTATATTCTTGCACTACGTAAATTCCAAAATGTGGGTGAAACGTGCCCAGTTTGGTGCGATTCGGGCCTCTTAGCATCTCCCAATTGATTTGTGTCATATTTTCGTCCCCTGAGAGGACACAGGTAATGTTCTGGCCATATCCATCTCGACTGTGACTGATAGATACACCACTCTTTGATTTGCCTGTTAAAGAACACAAATGAAAACATTGACAGAGATATTACAAGGATCACTGAGACATAATCCTAAAAATATTGAATTATGAATGCTTAGTAGAAAGTTTGTTTAGTGTTGTTACTGACAAAAAAAATTTTATTACCAGTAAATCTTTATGAATATAAACTTGTTATTTACTGAAAAGAATAATGTATTGCCTTCTTTAAACATCTGAAGTTATTATGGAACCTTTTGTTTTATATTTATTCTCAGAAGTGGTTGCCGCTATTTACTGCCCTCAAAGATGCTTTAGAGAGAGCAGCTAATGACGCATGCTGAAACTACAATTCAATACAAGCTGTGTTAAGAAGCAAAAAATTAAACTCGCTCTACAGGTTTAAAAAAATGGTGAAGAAAATTTTTACAAACAAAGAAACAGTAAAATTACAAAGAAACAGTAAGTAATTGCATTGGAGCTGATTTGAAAAACTGAAATAGTATTTTCTTGTAAAATATACTCTAATAATCTGCACGTTTTATTTACAATTTAGACAAATCTAAGTTGTTTTGTACAGTGTTGTTAATCTTTGACAAAAATATCAGTGCAAAATCAATTGTCAGATCATAATAAATGAATCAATGTGAATTTTAAAAGTAAAGTCTAAAAGTGAATCACAGGATAAAAATAAAATATGCTACAAAAGCAACCCATTAATGAAAAGGTATAATACTATGTTAAGTAATATCATAAGCAAGTGATCAATCATTTGTTTATGTAAGATGTTATCAGTGAAAATGCAGTTAGTCAGACAGCAGTCAGCAGTGCATGTGAAGGCGTTGGTTTATGCTTTTGTGAGCATTTGCTTGCTATCACTTTTTGAAAACACTTTGATACATGATGTCTTCATTTACCATAGAATCATTTTTGTCATTCCATGGCTTTAACTGTTCTTTTTCAAAATGCATACAATTTTTTCGCATTGTCTGCTCGAACTAATAACCACAGACTTTTTGGTTGTCCATGTGCCTTTTTTAAATGCACAAATATGAAAATGTTTTTTAGTTATTTCACACAATATACACTTACCTGATTCCAGGAAGGCAAGGATGAGAAGAGCGCAAAGAAAGTTGCTGCTCATGATTGTCGAGCTAAACCAACATAGGCTTTCTCTTCCGCCTGTTTCCTGTCTGTTTTTTTCTTTTTTGTGTTGTTGTACTGAGTTCACGCTAGAATATGGAATAATTTAATGGAAACTGCAAGGGCTGGCCAAATCAGTGGAAACATCCAGCAAATATGTTAATGGAAAATGCATCGCCTTTTATTCCGAGAGGAGCTTTAATTCATAATGTAATGATGCCTTACTTCAACTGTAAGTGATATATTGCTAAGCCAGGAGGTTAAAGAATTTTACTACAAGGCGACAACTGAGATGACCAGACGCACACACACACAAACTTCAAGCTAGGGCTGTGTTGTCATTCTACACTCTTAAAATTAAAGGTTCTTCACGATGCAATAGAAGAACGTTTTTGTCTAAATGGTTCCATAAAGAACCTTTAACATCTGAAGAACCTTTCTGTTTGACAAAAGGGTCTTTGTGGTGAAAAAAGTTTCTTCAGATTACAAAAAGGTAAGAAAGAGATGGTTCTTTAAAAAACCTTTTACTGAATGGTTCTTTGTGGAACCAAAAATGGTTCTTCTATGGCATCGCTTGAAGAACCTTTTGAAGCACCTTTATTTTTAAGAGTGTAGTGCAGTGCTTGCCAACCATATTTTGTCTTACGATCCCCACAGCCCCATTTGTAAGACTGACAGTACCCCTACATTAACACCAAACCATAAAGAGGTTCCTTAATATCACTTAGTATTATCATTTACTCTTGTGCTTCGCTGAAAATCCTTTAGCTACTTTGATGTTCCTGGTCAAAATTAACTGGGCTTTTAAAATTTGTTTGTAAATCTCTCATTATGCTTTATCATCACCAAATCTTGGATTTTTTGTCAACGTAATGTTTTCTTTTAGTTAGCACAGGTTTTGTATTTCTTTTTGAATATGATTGATTAGGCCTTGTTGACCACAAAACCAATCATAACGGTAAATTTTTCGAAATTGAGCTTTATATATAATCTGAAAGCTGAACAAATAAGCTTTCCATTGATGTATGGTTTGCTTTCAAAAACATCTCATGGATTATAAGGTTTTTCAAAAATGACTGTATTTAAAATAGTTCTGCATCTCTCACAATCTCTGAAAAAATGAACAGACAAAGGTAATAAAATATTAAAATATTTTCCATTAGTTGTCACATCACTGCTTGAGAAAAAGCTGTCATATTGGGTAATAAAAAAAGGAAAACAATTTATGTAATCAAAATGCCTTTATAGCATTGAAACTGTGTTAACCCTCTTGATTGACAGTTGGCCAGGAGTTCTTTTTTTTATTTATTTTTTTTGAAATCTCATTTATAAGCATTAGTTTCCCATCATAGGTTATTTTCAAATATTCTGCACAAACACACAAAACATGACACCCAGTTTGTATCTAGGGCTAATGGGAAGACTTGAGTGAAAACAAACTCAACAGCCACTGCTGCATCAAGAGAATGGATGACGTGAACATTCAAACCACCACCTTCTTGAGGTCTGTAGAAATCATGGTCCCTGTTTTGCTGATAGTGGTAAATATGTCCATCAGCGGTTTCAGACAGGTACAGTGTGGGTTTTTCAGACAATGGTCATTAAGCAGAAACTTTATTACGTCTATAAAGTAAGAAGCACACCACGAAAAATATCCTTGAATTTAAAAACATTACGCAGATAGGCCCATGCTCCTATTCTGATTACAAAAAAAAAAAGATTATATATATATATATAGCATGATCCACTAAATGAACATGACTGTTACAGCAACCCACATTGATGTTTTATGAAGATCCCCACTGTGCTTTGGAATATCTACATACAGTGGGTACGGAAAGTATTCAGACCCCCTTAAATTTTTCACTCTTTGTTATATTGCAGCCATTTGCTAAAATCATTTAAGTTAATTTTTTTCCTCATTAATGTACACACAGCACCCCATATTGACAGAAAAACACAGAATTGTTGACATTTTTGCAGATTTATTAAAAAAGAAAAACTGAAATATCACATGGTCCTAAGTATTCAGACCCTTTGCTGTGACACTCATATATTTAACTCAGGTGCTGTCCATTTCTTCTGATCATCCTTGAGATGGTTCCACACCTTCATTTGAGTCCAGCTGTGTGTGATTATACTGATTGGACTTGATTAGCAAAGCCACACACCTGTCTATATAAGACCTTACAGCTCACAGTGCATGTCAGAGCAAATGAGAATCATGAGGTCAAAGGAACTGCCTGAAGAGCTCAGAGACAGAATTGTGGCAAGGCACAGATCTGGCCAAGGTTACAAAAAAAATTCTGCTGCACATAAGGTTCCTAAGAGCACAGTGGCCTCCATAATCCTTAAATGGAAGACATTTGGGACGACCAGAACCCTTCCTAGAGCTGGCCGTCCGGCCAAACTGAGCTATCGGGGGAGAAAAGCCTTGGTGAGAGAGGTAAAGAAGAACCCAAAGATCACTGTGGCTGAGCTCCAGAGATGCAGTCAGGAGATGGGAAAAAGTTGTAGAAAGTCAACCATCACTGCAGCCCTCCACCAGTCGGGGATTTATGGCAGAGTGGACCGACGGAAGCCTCTCCTCAGTGCAAGACACATGAAAAAACACCTGAAGGACTCCAAGATGGTGAGAAATAAGATTCTCTGGTCTGATGAGAACTTTTTGGCCTTAATTCTAAGCGGTATGTGTGAAGAAAACCAGGCACTGCTCATCACCTGTCCAATACAGTCCCAACAGTGAAGCATGGTGGTGGCAGCATCATGCTGTGGGGGTGTTTTTCAGCTGCAGGGACAGGACGACTGGTTGCAATCAAGGGAAAGATGAATGCGGCCAAGTACAGGGATATCCTGGACGAAAACCTTCTCCAGAGTGCTCAGGACCTCAGACTGGGCCGAAGGTTTACCTTCCAACAAGACAATGACCCTAAGCACACAGCTAAAATAACAAACTACAGCTAAAATAACAAACTACTAAATACTGAGCAAAGGGTCTGAATACTTAGGACCATGTGATATTTCAGTTTTTCTTTTTTAATAAATCTGCAAAAATGTCAACAATTCTGTGTTTTTCTGTCAATATGGGGTGCTGTGTGTACATTAATGAGGAAAAAAAATTAACTTAAATGATTTTAGCAAATGGCTGCAATATAACAGAGTGAAAAATTTAAGGGGGTCTGAATACTTTCCGTACCCACATCAGAACAGCTAGATGAATGGTTAATTCAATCGGATTTGGAGGATTCTGACATGGTGTGAGATAAAATACCATTTGCATTGGGATCTAGTTGCATTTTACCTCCAAATACTGCATTAGATTTGGAGATTAAATGTAACAAAATATCTTAGTGCACCACAGGTGAAAATACCTGTGTGATTTAGCCATTTCAGAAGCATCCGTGTATAGACACAGTATATGTTTTTTCTATGGAAAAAACAAAGGGAAAAGCAGAATTGAAGCTCTGATAGTGCAAATCAGCAATTCAACTGATATCACCTGGATAAGGATTTCAGTTAAGTTTTTTAACGTTCGGATAGTGACTTGGAATAAAAATAAAAATAAATCTCCCTGGTGGTTTTCCCCTCGTTCACAAAACACAATACACAGCTGATTCTAATACACATAAAGCCCTTCATAAGCATTACAAAGCAGTCACGAAAATGAAAAACAAAAGATGCCATCGTGAAATAAACAACATAAAAATCAGGAATAGGTACTGAGCAGCGTGGCATATGACAAGGCTGGAACCCAGCCTTCTTATTTGAACCTCTCCTGCTCAATCTTTCCATGTGTCAAGCTGACGGGGATCAGGTGGAAGGTAAAGGGAGTCTGGGGCGAACCCTTGTTCTATGCAAGATGACACTCTCGAGATCCAGTTTCACTTACTCAGAGCCCTGAAACTTTAACTAGCCCAAAGTCACACAAGATAACAAGTGTCTGAGTATATATTTGCTTTTATATGACTTAGCACTCAAGGTAATAATAATAAACCAGAGCATGGGAAACACAGATATCCTGGTCTAGGTTCGTCTATCTATGTTGTCTTCCTAAACAGTGGGTTGCTGCTAATTACGAATACAAGGCCTCTCTTGCTAAAGACGATTTCCCTTTTTGGTCACATGTACAGTGCTCTAAATAATTCCAAGTCTAACTGTTGTCATCTTTACAATACAAAATGAATGTTTACTCATTTTTAGAGCCGTAACTTGATCTGGATCACGTCCTCTCCACCTACTGCTAGCATAGCCCCTAGCATATTTTTCCATTCCAGAAAAAGAAAGTGAAAAGCCACTTCATAATTGAAAGAAATGGGTTTAAAGTTCAGTCCTCGTGTGCCAGCGAAACAAGGGGTAACGTATCCTTTACATCTCTTCACCATCAGGTGGTCACATGCCTCTAATCGTTTATAGTCTCGTGGCCCTGGCACTAGGACCTGTGTAAAATATAGAGTTACAACCTCCTGCACAATTCACAAATACTCAGAAAGGCCATTTTAACATCCAAAGTGCTAAAAGGTGGAGCTGAAAGATAGGAACAATAAATAAAAGAGAAATATTCTTAAATGATTACTGGATTACCAAATGTAACAGCTAAATATAGAGGCTAGTGAGTGAATAAGACTTCAATCTAAATGCACTGCGCTATGTACAACATAAACACATACCATACACTTTTTGGGTCTTTAATCCATCATGTCTCATTTTGATGAGTGCTTTAGAGAGGAGAAAAAGACAAATTAATAATAGCATATCAGGGACGCTTGACTCTAACAGACATTGTTTTAATTTGAGAAAATGTAATTATCATGGGAACCTGAAGCATTCATTTTCCTTGCGCTTCACAACTATCTATTTTTAAACTGATTTCCTCTGAAAGCACATGGCAGACATGAAGGATTTTGAGATTTCAGCCATGAAAGAATTTGAACAAAGAGTCCCTTTTCAAAGCATGCCCCTTCCAAACAAACATATACATTTATATATATACACCTACACAAATAAAATAAACTGTCATTAGAATTAGAGTTAATAATCTGTAAAATGCCTTGACTTTCAGATCAATCAAAAAAAGACAGCCTGTTTACCATTTATAAATACTGACCGCAATACAAGTCCCACATGCAGCTGTCCAAATGAAGGAGGAGAGGAGGCCTCCTTTTCGTCAGTGGATATTGAGAGTTCATACAAGGGCACAAAATAAGTCCACCAAATGAAGTCAAACCAAACACATAATTAGTAAAAAGAATACAATTCTTGGTTTTAGTTTAGTGGATACAGATTTAGATTAAAATCTGTATGACAAATTGTGAGTGGACTCCGTGAGTTCTTCAACTTTAAGTTATATTTCAATATATATGTTTCCTATTAAACTAATTGAACTTTTGTTCCATTGAACCTCCTAATTAGTACCAGAAATGTAACCATTTAAGAAACAAAGAATGATGCATTTGCTCGTGTGGACTGTGTCTCTCTCTCATTCTGACACAGTGCTTCAGTGAAAAAGCGACGTGAAATCTGGGTTTGGGGCAAAGGAATTAAATATGGTTATAAAGATGTCTAAAGGCTTTTTCTGTTCTTCTTTATCCATCTTGGTTATATTTCGCTTTACTTTCTTCACTTCAGGCCATCAGAAGGAGACGATGTGTCCTGTATCTTCTTCATTATGTTGATTTCCTCCATTCTTTTCCACTGACAGATTGTGTCTGTCTTTTAACTTCAAAATGTCGGTTCAAAAAATTCAAAAACTCTTCATAGAGATGAGCAGTTGTCTCTTGTTTTGCTAAGGTTTCCAATTGTCCTAATTCATTTTCCATATTCCATGGGTGAATCACACTAAGTCAGCTAAAGATTTTCTTCTTTTTTTCTCTCCCTTTTTTTTTTTTTTGTAATTGAAGCACCGGATTTGGAGGAATTTCCTTAAGATCATGTATCTTCTGAATCATATGTATATGATGTAACAAAATCACTACATAGTGATGTCTCAATTAAATTATAAACTAAATTATTTTTAATGAACTATAACAACATTTAAACATTTACTTTATATACCTATATATATATATATATATATATATATATATACCGTATTTATCCCTATTTATATATATATATATTTATATTTCCTTTTGTATTTAAATGTGATCCTGTCAAACAGTCAATTTATATAATTAAAAACAATTATACATGTCTGTTTCATTATTAGTTATGATTCATATCTAACTGTATGTACTTCTAGCAATATTCCAGTGTATTATTACAATTGCACTTCTACAGTTAGGTACAAATACTGATAGAACGTCATTTTAACAAACAGGTTCAAGTACTTAAAGCAAAAACTTGAGACTGTAATCTAAATGTATAAGCAAGTTCTTAGCCAGACATTTATAATTTGATACCTCTAGAGGAATTATTACAAATTTTTCAAGGAGCATATTAGAAAGTCTGAAATAAAAATGTTCCCATGTGGAAATTTTTTGTATTTTCAGGTTAATTAAAACTGCCTTTAAAGACCATTTCGGTCTCCACATGGGCAGCCTGTTATAAAGTCCTAGAAATTTAGTTTTTTGTTTTTCCCTCTAAATACTCTAGCAGCTACAGCGCCACGTTCTGAAATAACAACAGATACTAAAGTGAGACCCCTTTTTTTTCATAAAGTGCCCTAAAGTTTGTGCAGTTTTCTTTTCAACTCAGCATGAGTAAATATGCTTTCACTGTCAGTGATGCTGACAGAAATGAAAGGGCCTGGAACAATTTGGGTCCCTATTTTATATAATCTGAAACTGCTTCCCTCTTTTCCAGTCCCTGTCCATTCAGCGCCACCGTTTACAGTACTGCATATGGAAATAAATTAAGTAACCTAAACAAGCGTCTACTACTTTTATTCTAGTTTGTTCACTTGCATGCCTTTTTTTAATTAATTAATTGTTGTTAAAATAAATGAAATCCTATGACAGCATTTTCATTAAGCGGAATAGAACTGAAGTTTTTTTCCTCCCTTTATAGTAGATATATTAGGTGGTTTTTTTAGTTGCCAAATTTGACAGAGATATTAAAATTCCTTACGTTTATGTAGGTTTGGTGTCTAATTTTAAGGGAAGGTGTTTCTGATGCTCCTCGACTAAACGACATCAGACTCCACGACACACTGCTCTGTGTACTCCTTCACCAGCTCCACTTTAAGGGTTTCCCTAAAAAAATCAGCCATAGGCTTCCACAGCGCAGGCTCTAGGAACACCTGGCACATAACGTGACCCTTCAGAGTGCCAGTGTGGCACCTCAGGTGGCACAACAGCTGTTGTATGGCCAGCGTCAGGTCTTTACCAAACATGTCGATGTTGAGGTAGTACCAGTCATCACCGATTGGCACACGGAATGGGAAGGTGCACAAGCTGGCCATGGTTGGGCGCCTGGCATCATCAACCATCCAATCAATATCCTTCTTCAGCAGGATGGCCATGTTGCTAGGCAGAGGCTTGAAGGGCTGCCAATCTTGAACGATGGTGGCATTGGAAAGGACACCCTGCATTAGAACATCACTTAGGAAGAGCTGATGCACTTCTGCTGGCTCCAAACGGACCGGGAAGTTTGTGGTAGACAGACCCTCCCCCGCTACAGTGATATTAGGCCCAAGATCAGCAAGGCATAATTTTAGGTCTTCAGCACGGAAGCGCACCAGGAGGATTCCCTTCATATTTTAATTAGGTGGCAGAATGAAGACAATGTGGCTTTAGCTGTTTTAATTCAAGATCTGAACAAAATGTTCATATTTTATTGTAAATGGTTCTTACCTGTTTGGTGATGAGCCGGTACTTCTGGAAGTCTTTTGGCCCCAGCTGGTCATCTCTTGTCAGCCTGCTGACTTTAATGTCAGGGTACTTGGACTTAACCAATTGAGAGCAAAACCGAAGAAGTACCCCTGCCACACCTTTCCCCCTCTCCTGGGGGGCAACACGGAGCCCTTCCACCAGCATGGTCTCGCCATCATCAATAACACACACTGACTCCAGTGCAATCTGGAAAATTTAGTTGCATAAAAAGCGAGTTATTTCTAAGATAGAAAGCGAGTTTCATGGAGCTCTTTTGTAATTTCTGTCAGTTTCATTTTGGGCTGCACAATTAATCAAAATAAAACTGATATCATGATATGGCTTAGTGCGTTTATCACATCACAAAAAAAAGTGATTTAATTAAATAGTCTGATGCCCTGCGTGTTTCAGAGTGAAGTGTGGAATTGTGTTCATTTACACCTATGCACGATCTGGTATTCTCAGTGTCTCGATTTTTTTCAAGTGCAAGTCACTCACTACGTGCATTTGCCAAATGTGCACCAGGTTCACTTTTTCACATTTGCATAATTTCTAATATGTTTGTGGACAGATGTTTTCTGCATTTTGGTAGTTTTGTAATGATCAACCTAAAAACTTACCTAGAAACTTAAATAATCATTTTGAAATGATCAAACTAAACACAGAAACTTAAAAGTCTCTCAGTAGTTTTCTGCCAAAGAAAAGCTTGATGGTTTACCCTTAAATTAAGACACAAATATTGTTCATGAATAAAAATAAACAAATATGACCATTCCTTTTTTTTACAGTACATTTGTAATAGTAAAAAAGTAATTTATTTGTCTTTATTTTTATATAACTGTAAAAATAATTATATAGTATTTTTTTTAATCTAATTATAAAAACATAAGTTATATTTTTATTATAGGTATTATTATTATTATTATTAAAGTCCTAGTACAACATCAGCACAAAGCCATTTAAAACTTTTTTTTTTTTTACATTTTTAGCATTCTTAAACCATTTGAAAGAGGTGTGAGTTGGTTATGTAAATAGTGTTCCTAAGACAGTGTGATGTCTTTGCTTTTTTGCATGATGTGGCCAGGATATTGTTCAAATATACTGTCTGAAGTATTACATGTTTTGCCCAAAATAAAGTCACATGGACTTTATTTTCATTTGATTTTCATTTTTGGTAAAGTATTCCTTAAAAGCAATGGAACATGCACTGCAATAAGCTCCTCATATCCACTTTCTTACCACTTTGCCTTGCTTACGAGCCAAAATGACAGTGCGGTTGCTCTCTTGCAGCCAGGCTTGATAGCGGGAGGGCAGATAGTCCAGGCCGCCATAGATATCCTTGCTCATGGCCATGATGTCATCAAAGTCCTCCTCCGTTGCCACTGTAAAATGCAGCCCGGTCTGAGGAGGGGCCTCAGGGAGCTGAGAGCAAGGCAGGCTGTTTTCAATCTTCATCCTTAGAGCTGCAGCACAGTCAATCATGGAAAGAGATTTACAATGAGATTTCAACTTCTATGATCTGTGACCCAAAAAGAGCTTCCATGTGACATTTGACTTTCAACTTATGCACCATAACCACTTTGTAGATGTTATTTCCTGCTTTTTTACTAGGATGTCAATATAGAACCTTACAAAACAAATTAGGGATGCACGATTTTATCGGAACGTTATCGGAATTGGACGATAAAGGCTTAAAATGTAAACATCGGCATCGGCAGATTTGAAAAAATTATGCCAATATGCCCTGCTGATAAGAAGAATAACTTACACATGCTCAGGGTGTGCTAGCGATAACATCACATCAGCAGTGTGGTCAGTCTTGAAGCAAACTTTTGCATGAATGGTAATTACATTCACTGTTTTGGATCGCAGCATTTGAGAAAGTATGTACAGAATGACGCCTCTGGTGTGTGATAGATTAATGCTTTATTGGGTGGTTGCTGCTTAAAAAAAACAAACGCCAGCTGGTCCAAAATGCAGCAGCTAGAGTTCTTACTAGAACCAAGAAGTTGACCATATTAGCCCGGTTCCCTTTCAGTCGGTCACTCTCAACATCACGTCGGTAACCGACGAATTGGGATCTCGCTTAGAGAGACGAATCCACTTCGAGTGTAAACTAAACAAGCCAATGCACATTGGCATGCGATGATTGCATCCAGCTGCCGCTGATCACAGCATGAGCATAAAAAGGCAGCCGGTGCAACGCATACCAGCTTTTCGCTTCGGCTCCGAGCGATCACATCGTTTTGCTCCTGACTACTCTACTGAGAGAAGAAAACTGAACGAGTTCAGCGCGCTCTTTGGAGCTCTTGGTGTTGGCGGTACGGCACTTCAGCGGGGGTGGTTTCCCGTGTCGAGTGGGTTGCACACATCACTGCAAGTGTAGCCTACACTACCCCTTGTTTGTGTTGCAGGCGGCCATCTCCCCTGTGCCCTTCAGCATGCTGAAAGAGCTTTTTCCCTAAAAGAGCATTCACGGGTGCGTCTTTTTAAAGACGACGTTGCGTCTGGTAAACTCAACGTTGCGTCTTTGTAAAGTCGACGTTGCGTCTGGCAAACTCGACGTTGCGTCTTTGTAAAGACAACGTTGCGTCTTGCTACAGACAACGTATCAGCCGTGCGTTTCTGGATGTGGTCATTACCTGGTGTCGGATGATGGTAACGATCGCTGCCTCACGTGTCTGGGCATTAGGAATGCTGAGGTGGCGTTCATGGATGAGTCATGTTCTCATTACGGGAAGATGACCATCTCGGAGTTGCGGGCCAAGCTCCGTTACCTCAAAAGGGGCGGAGCTCCGTTGCCTCTGCCTCGATCTAGTTCTCGTCATGGCGGCAGTCAGGCGTGGGCTACTTCAGGCAGTAGCACGGGTGTTCTGAGGGTAACAGTGATGGCAAACCCTCCAGGGAACCAACCCTCGGGGGACCATCGCTCCTCTTGCACTCCACAACCAGTTGAGCTGCCAAAGGAACGTGTTGGGCCCTCTACAAGGAGCGTACCATGAGGATCCTTTGGCGCTCCTCCCGACGATCGGATGTCGATCACTGCATCAGAGGGTGAGCCGGAGCTTTCCGGAGAGGAAGATTCGGCTGCGCTGCTGCCCTCTGGGACTGTAGCAATGCCTGAATCGAATCCGGAAATGACGGCTATGCTTTCCCGGGCCGCCGTGAGGGTAGGGCTCGAGTGGAAATCTCCACCATGTCCCGAGCCCTCAAGGTTG